TCGCCTACAATATTCGGCTGACAGCTTAATACGGTCATACCCTCTCGAATCTATATACTCATTAGGTAAAAAGACAATCATTGTTTAGTTTGATAAAAAAAGCTCGAATTCTCCAATCTTAAAATATCAAATGCAGTAAAACTTACTCGACAACATGTATTTGGCATTGCACGTATGATTTTCGTGGATGCAGGTACCCACTGCTTAATTTGATCAATCTGTACGCCTGCCAATATACTAATCAGTACTTTATTCTCTAATGCTTCAAACATTCCTTCTTCTGTTAGGATTGTTTTAGCTACTTGAGGTTTTGAACTAAATAATAAAGATCATTAACAATTCTGAAAAATTGTATATCAATTAATGCTAGTAAGTTGAATGAAGAAAACTTTTGACGAACCAACCACAACAATATAACTTGTGACTCTTTAACACCCGTCACGTTTTTGCGCGTTAATATGGTTACCTTTTCATCGGTGAAAACTCGTGCAAGACGTTGTGCAGATTCTTCATGTGAGACACAAGCAAAGAATTTTCGTGGTGCAAAGAAAGCAGTTTGATTAGTTGTATCTGAGGACAAAGAGGTTTCAACTGTAGCCGTGTCTCCTATACTATCTAGAATTCCGGAAAGAATAGCTACACCCATAGTCCCACACCCTAAAACACAAATGGTCGAATTCCTTAAACTCATAATTCGAAACGTAAACTGTAAAAAAAATGATTAATCTATTGAGATCATCATAATTACCATTGTCATATACATTACAATTTATTAAGAATCTATATATATATATATATATTATATTCTATTTCTAGTCCACTCTACCAAATAAATTACAAGAATAAGTGTATCAATTTTTATCCCATTGGCGGCGACCTTGGCTTAATGGTAATAATGTGAAGCGAGCTGCTTGTGGTACAACTGGCAAAACATTATGGTAATCTTGAATTCCTAAACCTTTACGTCGTCTACAATAAAAACAAATGGGAATAAGTATAAGCCTTCATGATAATGACAAATTACTATCTATGACTTACGTATCCGAAATTTTAGGATTCAATTGAAGTAATAATCCAAGTAAGATTGCGCTGCGAGTATAGTGGCGTTCTACGTTTTTGTTTATATATGGTTCGAAAACTGCTAAATCTATCGGGTCGATCTGTTACAGTATTATCCATGTTAATGTTAAATGATAATTCTAATATATTTAATATTCACATATGAATTTAAGCTGATTGACTGACCTTTAGTTTAATATCGTTAGATATTTTTTCAACAATCTCGGGTAGTCCTCTAGGATCTTCATCAACAAGATGATTATTGTGATGATGATGATGATTGTTACTGGTCGCATCATCCCATATGAAAAGATTTTGATTACCGTGATTAATATTCAGGTGAAATGACCAACAGCCTTCGAAAACTTTATTTAGGAATTTCACGTCATATAGCATTTGAATTGCTCCTTTTTCGGATACGTTTTTGAATTGCTCTGGATTATTGATGAATGATTCGTAAAGCGCAAAGATTGCTTTGGACAGACTTTTTAATAAGTTTCTGATTATAGTCTTTCTCGAGAACAAAAACATTTTATATTTTTAGCATGACCATAAAAAAATCATTATTAAAACGAAGAATAAAAACCTTATTTAGAGTAGGACTTCCTATACGATTTATTTCCTGACAAACGTTAAACAAACAATTCATAAGAATACTTGATGGCTGTGACGGTAATCGTAATTTCTCGCTTTCCTCTACTTCCCCATTGGATTTATCTTGCACAACTAGTAAAATATATAAATAATCATGAATCTCAAAACCTGAAAAGAACTTTTTCAAACTTATTACCTTCCCAAACCAAGGTCTGCATATTTGCTTCTTTCCACGGTGAACTATTCAGAAATATTTGAATAGTTTTCTGTGCCTTACGCACAACCCATCCAATCCAAAGATAATGTGCATTTGTATAAACCTCAAGGAGCATTCGACTTAGAGATAAGATTCTCGAATCTATTCTCTCATTTTAAAATTTAAAAGTGAGCTAAATGTTTAACAAGTTTTTTTTTGCTAGCAAATTTTAAAACTTTAGTATATTACCAGGACCTGACGACCTTCGAAAATGTTTGTCTTCTCCATTAATTGCACGTGCATTAAATGCAGAAGCTAAATATACGGAATCGCAAGCGATCGCTTGTGCAATTCGACCAATCAATAACCGTCTAGCTGATTAAAATAGATAAAATCTAAGATTATACATAATTCAATAAATTATTGAAATAGAAAAATTAGGTATGACCTCACATAAACAATTGATTGCTTCCTCTTCGTCCACCTTTTGATCTTTTCCGAGAATTTCAATATTCTCATTGAGCAAGTCATTCAATTTATCTCGATATGATTCCACAGATCTTATTAATGCGTCCTGAAAGAAAACAAAAAGTTTTTCGGTATCGCTATAATAAAGATAGAGGAACGTTGACTCGACCTGCACTTCAATTCGAGCTTAACCGTAATAAACCCATTATTTACCTAATGGCATTAAATAAATCATCATTCCCATCCTTAGTTGTGAATCCAGTCAGTGAGAATGTTGATTGCAAATCAAGAAGCATGTCTTTTAATATCTTGTCAAAAGATTCTTTTGCATCGTGAACACATGATGTCTGAGAATAGACTAAGCTCTGTATGCGAGTCTTCAAAGTGGAACCATCACCAATTAATTTGCTTGTATCAGAGAGTATAATGTTTGATTGTTCCCATATAAATTTGCCAAGATGTCTTTCTTCATATTCAAATCATCAATAAAATAGCGTTAAATGAAAAGAGAGAGAAAGAGAGAGATATATATATATACACAATAAATTATGTGGAAATATCGGTTACCTTCATTTGTGGTAATTTGAATTCGAGGCAAATAATTTTTGGATATATTTTCAGGTTGACTTGATAATAAAGCCAAAGAAGACAGAATTATATCTTCAAATCGTTGATTAAATCCCTCCCGCAGCACATCATTCCATATCGAGAATGTTTTATTAAGGACAATATTACACACCTAATTAAAACGTATTAGAAGAAAAATGTAATAATAGAAGATTAGACATGCTTCTAGATATAATGAAATCATAGTAGAAAGCTCTATATAATGACATAACGACACCTTTTTTTAGTGTTTCGACCATGTCGGTGAATATAAAAATGAAAAACTACTCACAAAACACCAAGACCAGTTTGTTTTTTGTAATGTCAAGATAAACCCTAAACTAGTTCGATGAATCCTCTCGCCTTTCGGTTCTTGTGAAATTAAGCCTCCAATATTGCTAAGTTCATCCTCTTTCAACATTTCCCATACAGCTTTACGTAACTCATATAAATCTGTCACAGAAGTAAAATTAGCAAGTAGAGATCCCAATTTCCCTCGGAATTCTTCAACAACCAGATCGACCCAATGATTCGTATGCATTCTGATATCTTCTTGAGGAAATTGACCTCGCGTGCCAGTAGTGTGAAGGAATGGAGTAAATGTTTGAATCGATTCAGGAAGATATCGAATAAGTAGATGAATATTTGTTGAGGGCGAATAAAGACGAGTCAAGGATGACTTTGACTCGCGCGGAGACATTACAGTCACTGCCGATTGAATATTATCCTCTTGAATGGTAAATCCTTGTTGTAACTGATGAAGATAAGATTCAAATAATGATTTTTCATTTCCAGTTCGCATGAATACCAATCCAATTTGAAAGATTGTAGCACGAACAATTCGAATCATGTCTCTTAAACGTTCTAAAAGAGATAGTGAATCCTTTTCTGACTTGTTCAGAATCTGCAGTAAAGAAGATTTTCTCATTTCGAGAAATATTCTAAATACATCTTTCATGGTTACATCATCTAAAAGCATAATAGCGCTCAATGTTTCTGCAAGGCTCTATTCAAAGTGATTACAGGAAAAATAATTAGAAACCTTAGTTTCCCATAAAAGTGTTGAATGTTTCTTAATACCTGTTCAGATTGTTCTACCACTTTTAGATATTGTGTTGATTTCTGCAGTATTTGTGTCTTAAAGTGACTGACAGCATCCCATTGCCGTTGCACTACCGGAAATGTGATCTAAAAAAAATAACATGGTTCAGCATAAATAATACTATTTTTTGATCAAGAATTTCAGCTCAAGTAAATTTTACGTACTGAAACACTAAAAGGAGCATCATCATTGTGTAGTTGAAGATTTTTATATACAAGTTTTGCAATCAAATATAAACGACTAGCGTTCAAATATTTGTGATTCTCTAGTGAGCGCCAAATCTGTATAAAAAAATGAAGATTCAATTTTTAACTAATTCCAGTTAAGAATTAACCGCAAAAACAAAATATATTAAACCTGTTCTGGCACATCCACCAATAACTTGATCTGCGCAGCCGAAGAATACAAGTGATATTTCCTATCATCTATATTATGATTCGAGATTGCTTATTCAATATATAAATATCAATCGTATGTAGATAAGCAAACAAGGCATATATAGATAAGATTCTTTATTTTTACAGCACCTTTTGTGCCTTTTTTATCTTCATCAATTTGCGCACTAACAGTTTGTTTTAACGAGTAAACATTACAAGAATCTTGCATTTTATATAGCTCTTCTTGAATTGATAAAGCGGAATGACGCATGTTGACTATACTATCAGCAGCGTCTATTAGATCACGATATCGTTCACTAATTTAATGAGAATTCATGTTAATCACTCAAATTATTATATAAATGAAAACGTTGTCTCTTAAAAAGTATATCATACCCAACCATTAGTCTTAGTTCTTGTTTTTTGTTCTCAATATCGATCCTAATGGAAATGTCTTTTAGCTCAAAGAGAAGCATCACGCATTTTTATCCTTTTTTTATATAGATAGTAAGCTATTGATAGTGTTGCATTTGCACGGTTACCTTATATTCTTTTCCATGTCGCGTAATTCTGATATGCTGTTTCTCACAAAAAGTTCATCAGCATCTAGGGTAGAGGAAAAATCCGGTTGAGCAATGGGTACCTTCGTTGCCATTTTAACATGAATAACGGAATAATGGTCAAAAATTCTGACGACAAAATCTCGAGACAAAATTTTGTTAGCACATGACTATCAGTACTTTCTCCCAAAAAGGAAAAATCAAGGAAAAATCGATCAAAAATAGAATGAGATTGTATTCGTAAACAAAAGTGAAGCGAGACCATTGCGACAATTGACTCATCATCTTTACTGTAATCGAGCATTTATTACTACCACGTTATTACATATTCCCTCGTTATCTAAAATCTGTAGAAGTATTTCTAACCTCAGAGTTTTATTAAAAAACCAAAAAAAAGGATGTTAACTCGAAGACGGGATGAAACTTCAGACACCAATATTGGATCGCCTAAAAGGCTTCGTGTTGTAGAATCAGAGCAAGATGCTCAATACAATACTTATTGCTCTACGTTATCATCTGCAAATACCTTTTCTATTCCACCAATTTCTTCAGTTGATGACCCTAAGTTTGTTAATCAAGAGTTTTCGTCTGACCTTGTAGAGCGATCTAGTTTATCCATGACTCATGGACAAGAAGAACTTATTTTGAATAAAGAATCTACTTTATCTACTCAGGAAATACACGAATTGAATAAGCTAAAGATTCTGGCGCACAATGAACATAACAATACGATCATAAATCCTGATAATCTAACAACTGTCGCTAATGGCTCCACTGACGGAGAATATACATCAACAACTACACATTCTTTAAATGGTGACAATAGACGAAAATTACTTGAAGGAGATGATGAAGATGGTGAGGATAGAGATGACGACGAAGATGACGATGACGATGATGAAAGCTGGAGGGAGGAAGACCATCTTGATGACGCAATCAGCGATGAGACCTCATCCCTTGACGAAATAATTGATAATATAAATCATATAACAGATGAAGATGATGAAGAACCAACAACCCCTGAAACCGAAGGTAAAGTACATTTATATTTAGAACATTAGTTAATAAAGATATATATTTATTAGGTTTATCTTTTTTAATTATCATTCTCAAACATCTATAATAAAAGATTCAATCATCTTAAATGATGAAGAACGCGAACGTTTTAAAAAAGAAGCTAAAGAGAAAGGTATATATTGACATAGATATATTATAGATCTATCTTGAAAATATCATCGCAATTTTGACGATGAAGCCATTATTTTTACATAATTAAGGCACACACAAATTTGTTCAAGAGTTTTTCTTTGAAAATCGGGTTCCGATTAGAAAACTATTTTCCGCTTTTGATTACCAATTGGTAAGTGAAATATGAAAACGAAATTTTAAATATTTGTTGCTTTAATTGGAGTTTATAAGTACAGCAAATTCGTAATCCATACACACAATAGCCATCAAAAATAACAGGTCTTTCCGATACGCAATTACTACCCATACTTCATAAAGTAATTACAAAATATCTTCGACAGCGACAAAAACTAGCAGATGTCAATACGATGGACGATGTTGTAAGGCTTTTGCAACAATCGAAGAATATAATGGTTTTAACAGGTGCAGGGGTTAGTTTCGCTTCCGAGAAGCAATTTTATTTGTAAGAAATTGTTGCAATTATATGACATTAATATGTTCAGAATTGGCTTATCAGGTATCCGTATCATGTGGCATACCAGACTTTCGTTCAGAGAATGGAATCTACTCTCGGTTATCAGAATTTGATTTAGATGACCCGCAGGATATGTTTGATATAAATTACTTCAAAGACTGCCCTGAAGTTTTCTACTCTTTTGCAAAGGTACTCTTTGCTGTTTAAATATCCTTGCAAAGAAAAGCAAATTCTAAAATTACGAATTCAATTTTCTTGTAGGAAATATTCCCAAGCAATTTTAAACCGTCCACATCACATTGCTTTGTAAAACTTTTAGAAGAGAAAGGTAAACTATTGAGAAATTATACGCAAAATATCGACACTTTGGAACAAGCTACCGGAATAAAAAAAGTTTTACAATGCCATGGTAAGAACAAACATAGCAGCTGTCTGAAGATTATTTGCGTTGTTTTAAAAAAAATCCTTATCAATTAGGATCATTTGCCACTGCAAGTTGTATTAACTGCGGCTATAAAGTCGATGGCGAAGTGATCAAAGAAGACATCTTGGCGAAACGAGTACCTTATTGCTCTCGATGTCGCCTAACAAATAACGACGAAGACATCGAAAACTCTGGCTCTATTATGAAACCAGATATCGTTTTCTTCGGCGAGAAATTGCCACCTGAATTCGATGAACTTTTCCCTGAGGACCGTGAAAAAGTTGATCTTTTAATAGTGATGGGTAGCAGCTTAAAAGTTGCCCCCGTTAGTGAAATAATGGGTAAGTGTGCTTCTCTTTCATAATGCTATGAAAAAGAATTGCTTTACGTTGCGGGAATTAATTTGGATGTGTTAATGATTTCCTATAGGTCAAATACCTCACCGAATTCCTCAAATTGTTATTAATCGTACCCCGATCAAACATATGCACTTTGACGTGCAATTACTTGGTGATTGTGATATAATTATCCCCGAACTCTGTCGTTTACTTGATTGGGAAATCATTCATGAAAAATTACCGGGAGGATCCACAAAGACGACTCCTGCAACCTCATATCAATTTGTTGAGCCGAATATTTATTTATTTGAAGGTGCCGTGGTGAAACCAGGCGAATTAGTCGGTGGAGATGTTGGTGTTTGTAATGACAATGAAAGAAGTGTTACGGCGGAAGTTGACGATGACCAAGTGGTAGATGTTGTCGGTCAAACTGTAGTAGAAGTTGGCAAGAGTAGTAATAATAATAATAGTCATAACAACTCGACTAATATTAATACTACTATTCCAAGTGCTAATAATGATAATTCTGTTGATGGTGGTCAAGACGGTATTAAGAATAATATCAAGAAAACATAGGATTAATAGTAGATTGCATTTCCATATTGAATCCTGAATATATACATTTGCCACTATTTTTGGTGAACTATATACTTATATATAGTTTACATATATATTATTATTACACAAACTTTGCACGAGCTCCTGTAATATATGAACATTCTTTCTGTTAGTCATATACAGCTCTCTTTCTTTTTTCTTTGATTGCTCTCTCTCTCTCTCTCTTAGATGCTTTTGTTGTCTAGAATCGCATTAAATTTTGTACACTATTACTTATAATGACCACTTTATACCATCGAATTCATAATTGTGAAAATTTTACCTTGAAAATTTTTATCGAATGAACTTTGATATTTTTCTGAAGGAAAAATTAAAGTTTTAATTAAGCAAGCAAAGAAATATATATATATATATATATATATATATATACACATGTGTTTAAAAATTCGATATATTTAAATTACCGCGATAAGACAGGCGGGAATTGCCTCAACGGCTCGGTTGTTTCTCAAAAAAGAACGACATATAGTCAAAAGCAGCTGATCCGGGAATTGAGCCGTTGAAAGATACAATTTGGCTTGTGAATTTTATTCACTATCATTGCTATCAGAGCCATAATCTCCTAATGATAATAAAGTTGATGAAGACGAGGTCGCTGGAGCAGACTTTGGTTCCGCTTTTTTTGTTATTATTGGTTTATTTGATGTTGATGCTACAGTTATTGGTAAAGTTTTTGACGTTGTAGCTGTTATTATGGATGTTCCTGATGTTGATGATGCGGTTATTATTGGGGATGTAGATGTTGACGCAGCTGCTGTGCTTATAGTTTTTGATGAAGATGACGCCTTCTTTTTAACAATTAAACCAGCAACTAAATCAGATTCGGGCAATTTTCGTTTTTTAATAATTGGAGCACTGAAATCAGGCAATGGAACCATTTTTGCTTGTTCTGAAAGCAGTGCATCGATTTTTGGTTCTTCATCCAGATTAGCTTTTCTAACGGACAATCCATTAGCGTCTTGAAAAACAGCTTTCGCGAGTTTATCGTCTTCCTCCTCAATAATTTCTTCAAGAGTTTTCTCTCGTTCCTCTTCTAACTCAATCAACCGATCCAACAAAGCATCCGAATCAACACGTTCATTACGTGCATTTCGCGTTCGAATCTCATCCAACGCATCCAAGATATCCATCTCACGTTTCGAATCTAGCGTACGATTCTCTAACGCTTTCATCGGATTATTCTCCTCTTCCTGTTCCTTCTTTAATTGCTTTTCTTCGCCGGCGATACGCTCCTCACGCCATGGTTCAAAATTTCGAGAGGCACCATGTTCGGCTACATAATCTGTGTTTTTGGGATCCGTCTTAAATGTGATTTCAGCAGAGCAACGAGGACATTTGATGTAGAAGCGGAAGATTTTTATAGAGTAGTAGGTTTCGCCTTCTACCGTTTCTTTACGTGCATTGAATTTTTTCCCCTTGTAAATATACTCGCCACATGTTTCACAACGCATAGCATATGGTGTCATAAGACGAACCTTTGAGAATAGAAGAAAGCATAATTTTAAAGTCTACTTTTAGTTAAATGAGATCAAGAAAAGCAGGCAGCCTACCTTGTGCTGTGCATCTTTAGCTTGCTTCCTTCTCGGGATAGCTATAAAGAAGGAGAGAAATTACCGTTAGCAAGAGTAAAATTTAAAGCTTACGAGGGTAAGCTAAACATTGTCTAAACGCTCACCTGCAGGATCGAAATCCGGTGGGAAATATTTATTCAAGACTTTACGTTCACTCATGCTTCACCCGTACGTTGTTGGTAAGACTAAAAATTTTAGTTTCGGTCAAATCTATTTTATTTATACATCATGATGATCTTATCCAAAATTATAAAGATTAGATCATCTTCTAACAGGAAGACCTGGAGTTTCTGGGGAGCATAACAGAATTTGTTTGTTTGTGTCAACTATTAATAAAAACCCAGTTCTTAACATGCATCATCATCAGGTGCCCCAAAGCAGGGACACGGAAAAATTCCGAAAAAATTAACACCAATAAGTATTCCATCTTTGTCGTTATTAAAATTTCATACGGGTCCCTGCACCAAAAGCTTTGATTTCATCGTAATTTCACGTGCATCCATCTGATCCGATGATGAATTTCTCTGCGAAAAGTCGTCCTTAAATTCATGTCCATGTTTACGGAATTTTGGAATTCTTAGCTGGAAAAGAAACCCAGTCGAATGGAAAGGAATTGACTTTTGCTATGGCAGAACGAGACTAGCGAAGAGTTACTCGCAGGAAAACAAATCGCCTCAAGCGACGGGCATACCTTTCTCGGAATTCGCAGTACTCCACGCGGGTGACGAATCAACTTTGAAAGATTACCGTAAGTGCGCTAGCGTCAGCAACTTATCTCCTTAAAAATTTGTTCAGCGTATTTTGGATTGGCGCCTTTTTTTTTATGAGAACGGTTGGCATAAAAGCTGCATCCAAACAGGCTAGCCCTATGTATGTAGGTGGCCGCCTTATAGCATACAGCTTTTTGCCGATTGTTATACTACTACGCTGAGCTGAATGCATTTCTCTTTTTACTTTTCCGAGCTTAGTCATGATTAAGGATTCCCTTTGACTCAGGTTTATGAGCATTATCGAGAAATTCACTTAAAATGGACAATTCCTAAACAGGTAGACTGGATAATGGATGTTTCCTAATGTAGTTGAAGGTAATGAATTAAATAGAAAGAAAGTTCAAACGTAATGATGATCGCAAAATCTTTTATTCCAAATCAAAAAAGATCATCCGCATTTTAACAAAGGTTTCTACTAAAAGAAATAATCTAATCCTCTTATCGATTAAAATATGCGAAGAAAGAGATCATGAGTTGTCATTGTTATCTTTTAATTGTTCATTTAATTACTTTTTGCATTCTTTTAAGGCGAATCTATGAAACATTATTACAATCGCAAAGTTTGATCAGCGTTAAATAGAAAGAAAAGTCCTTGTGCTGGATTTGGTGATCAATTGTATAGAAAATACACTTTTTGATATTTTATGTCCAGGTGATAAATAAAGCACATGAAAAAACAACAAAAGTATAAACCATTGACAACTTCTAAATATTGTTTATTAATATTCGAATAGCGATAGAACGAAAAATGAATGGAGTTCTATTTAGTTACGAAAATGTTGATCAAGAAGGTTTTTTATTATGAGATCTTTTAGAAATTTGCGTTTTGGAGAAGAAAAGGAAACGTAAGAATAGCATCTAAATATTATGCGTTAGCATACATGTAGCCTAATTCTTATTTGTTTTGAATACTATTACCGTGTTTCAAATGCTGATTTATTCAAAAATACTTATTTTAGTATCATAACAGTGCGCGGATACTTTGGTGATTGAAAGAATTTCACATTAATTTTTCCGCAATATTAAAATCGGTGAAGAAGGTATTTTTATATTTAATCAAAAAAAAAAAAAAACTTTAAAGTTGTGTCACGAAATGCTTAATTGTAAACTATTTTCGAGAGGTTTTTTACTCAAATACATTATGAAATTAATTTAGGTTAAAGAATCTAGATCTAAGATTTATTCGCCTAATAAAAACGATAAGATCTGCATTTTTGATTCGTTAGCTGTATTAATTTCACGAATCAAATAAAAAAATTAATCACCCAAATTTTTCGTTCAGTTACGTTCAACTTTTTTTTAACGAGAAAAAAATTTTGAGTTCATGACACAGGAAACTGATTTAAGATATGGTACACCAAAATTTTCATATATCCACTTAATATGAAGTCGGTTACAATTAGTTTTCCCTAATAGTATAATTTCGAACCCGATACCACATAATTACGAGTATGATATGTACCAATTTTAGTTTTTAATAATGATTATAACGACCCAAAATCTCTCGTCATATACATCACCGTGAAGGATGCGTAAATCGTAATTTGTATTACATGAGCACAGGACCAGATTGGCAAACAAAGGTTTTTCGTAATCAACATTTTGGGTTATACGCCTCTTTGTGTTGTGTGCACGACATAATCATTCAGTCATTCAGTTTAGTATAAAAATAAAAAGGAAAATCTATTTTTACAATGATTAATGAGGTGACATTCTTGTTATGAGCTGGTTAATTTTTGATCACACCCACAAGGTCATGTATGAGTTATGTAATGTGATGTATTTGGTATCTTTTTCATCAATGATCTTTGTTCGGGGTGGCTTAATATATAATCCCAGCATTGGTCCGACTTAAACCCAATTCCCAATCGTCGTAATTAAATTCCCCCTAATAATTATTTAATTTCCGTATTCCTCTAATTTTTCTCGTTAATTTCGGTATGTCTCCTATATATATATATATATATATATATATAATACTACATACATTTCGGTTATTACCTTTTAAATGAATTAATGAATGGCGATTAATACCTCGATTTGGATTTGCCGATGATGATTTTTAATAAAGATTGACGAGTCATGAACTTTTATATCTTATGTGAATGATGGTGCACATTTTTGTGTCGCGTATAACAACGAACGACGCATACATGCGTCCCATGCAACAAACAGCAGAGAAAAGAAAAAACTTGGTTATAAGGTTTATTTTTATTTTTCGATGAGAGGACTTTAGTAGTTTGTAGAACAATACGTTACGTTCACAAAGTATATATAGAAAACACACGATCAAAAAGTAACTCTCTCGAAATGATGATCGATTCAACATACCAGAAATATAAAACAAAACCTGCATAAAGAAAGCATTAATAGAAAATAATGTATCAAAGCAATTAACAAAAATAAATGCATGAAAGCATACATACAAAGCAATTGAATTGATATTGGGCAGTCATGGAAAAATGATGATGATCATGATGATGATGATAATGATGATGATGACAATAATAATAATAATAATAATATAATAAATATGTTCACGAAAGAGGTATTATTGTGCTCGGGAAGTCCTACCCAATAAAGAATACCTTACCATCTTTTTTTTTACTATTATTATGATCGTTATTATCTGTTTTTTTATTGCAAAGCATAAATATTATGATTAGATATATTATTATTTGATGAATCTTCATATTATTTCGATTGTTATTCAAGTTTTATAAGGATTATTTATGGTTGAATGAAACCGTTGAGGAGAATTTTTCTAAAAAAAATAAACATTCCCAAATTTTTAAAAATTAACCTAAATCCCCAGAAACTTTTTTCTACCAATTTTTTGTTATTTACCCGAAAGAATTATACCGGAAGTAGTTCTCCGTTTATAGAGAGTAATAAATTACGCCACCATTATAATATGTTCAATAATATGTTCACTCAAAGGTTCATGTGATACATCACTGCATAATTAAATAAATAAATAAAATGAAAGGATAAAATAAAAAAAATTATTAACATGTCGTAGAACCACCAAGATAACCCTACATTTCACACCCCAGATTGTTCGTCACACGCACACTATACAGAAATCCTTTTAAAGAATGGCTATCGCTTTTTTTACAATCAACCTCCATGTTCATTTTCTATAGTGTTGTGTTCGTACCAAATCCCTTGCCCCGTTGTTGAAATTGGTTTTGCTAGTAGTTACTGTGTAGTGCTAGACACTCGCCAAAATAAAAAAATAAAAAATAACATCATTAATTTTAATATTAATAATAATAGACTAATTCCCCTTTCCATTCTGGAAATAATATCACGTATATAAAAAAACCTTTGAACAGGTTCTAATCTCACATTACTCTAAAGGACACCAGAAGCCGCGCTTCTCGTTTATCCTCTGAAAAAAAGTCTCATTCGTCAAATTACAGTTTTTTTTTGTTTGATACAAAAAACGTATATTTGACTCAAAAAGTATCATAGTATTCCTTCACCTTCTAAAATAATCTAATAGTCGGAGTCTCTTTCTCCAAAAAAAAACAAACGGACATTTTTTTTTCTTTATAAAATATTCACTAATCACACAATGAATGCTGTAGAAGCTAACATGATGAAATCTCCCATGGAGCAAGTCGACGAATTAAAATATTGGCTTGCAACCGCACCATGTAATTGGGAACCCGACCAGAATATTCGTCGGTATCTTTTACCGACTGGCGAATATGTATCATGTGTATTGTGGAATGGTCTATACCACATCACCGGTACTGATATCGTGAGAAGCTTAGTATTCCGCTTTCAAGCCTTCGGAAGACCCGTAAAGAATATCAAAAAATTTGAAGAAGGAGTATTTAGTGACCTGAGAAATCTCAAACCAGGCATGGATGCGTCACTCGAAGAACCAAAATCAGAATTTTTGGAAATGTTATACAAGAACAATTGTATTCGAACACAAAAGAAACAGAAAGTGTTCTATTGGTTTTCTGTTCCACATGATCGTCTTTTCTTAGATGCATTGGAACGTGATCTAAAACGTGAAAAAATGGCAATTGAACCAACAACTTATGCGGTCGCGGAACCTGCCCTTTCATTTTCCTTTGACTCGACGCAATCTTTATATGATCAATTCACAAAAGGAATATCGCCATCATCGACAGCCCCATCGTCGCCACGGATTCACAACTTGGTTTACGATCCGACAAATATTTCGTCAATGATCAATGTTCCGATAATAAAGACAGACGAGTCTTCAAATTGCGGATATTCGCTTGATGATGAGACAGCCCATCAACAGCAACATATTGCGCCTTACACGATTTACAATCAAATTCCACAATGTGAAACTGTACTCACGAAGGCTCACTTATATTCCCCGGATCTTGGATATTGTTCGACGGATGAGTTATCGAAACCACCATTCGCACCAACCACTGTAAATAACGATCATCACTCATCAACAGGAAATCATTCACCTGAATATTTCATGAATGCAACGTGGAATCTAGAGCATCATCATCATCATCAAACACAACATTTTGCTGATAGTCGACGCTCATCATCCGATAGTCTAGAAGCTCAATTATCTGGACTACATCAAGCAATGGTCCCATCCACAGCATCATCTTCATTGACGTCATCGCCTTCTTCCTCTTCAATTAATAATCCCGTTGCAACCGCTGCTAATCTATTCGGAATGTTCTCACTCTTCGAAGGTTCACCAACTTACAAGCAACGAAGAAGACGCGCAAATTCATGTACAAGTGTTCATGCGAATAACAACAATAATAATGCTATTAATGGAAATCATCCGAATTCACCTCCAACTCGGTCAAGTGCGTCGCCTTATCCTCTAAAAACCTATAATTGTCCTCTTCCCACCTGTGGACGCCTCTTCAAACGACTTGAGCATTTAAAAAGACATGTGCGCACGCACACAATGGAACGTCCTTACGCATGCCCCATATGCGGAAAGAGATTCTCAAGATCCGATAATTTGGCCCAACATCGCAAAACTCACGAACGAGGCATGAATAATTCACCAGCACCATCGGATGATCACTCCGATCTTGGTTATGAGGATAACAACAATAGTGGAAGCGGCAGCGGCGGCGGCGGCAGCAGCAGCAGCAACAGCAGCAGCAGTAGCAGTAGCAACAGCAGCAATAGCATTAATAACATTAATAACAATGGTAATAATGGTAATAACGGAAGTGAATGTTATTCATATGAACCAAATAATCATCAGGCCGAGCTGTCAGATGCCTGTGTCCCAGACAATTATGTACCTGTATTTACAAACGAACAGCAACCATACGCTATGTATGGGTTCCCACAGAACTTTTTGGAAGGTAGTGTTGGAAATGGGATATTAGTCTAAAAGTAAGACATGTACACACATTTATATATATATATATACGCACGCAATTTTCTTGTACATAGATATATTAATAAACAGAAACCTAAATCTATTTAATGGCTTTCGTTTGAAAGGGAGGGTTTTTGGTGGATCTTTATTTGCGTGTGAGAGAATCAATTGAAGGTTTTCCTTTTTTGTTCTATAACTTTATATGGGTGGATAAAGGGCTGGACTTTTTATTTTTTTATAATTTTGGCGTTTTTTTATTTTCAATTTTAATTAAAATTTACATAAACACACACACACACACATATTAGCATGTAGGCAATAGTTCTTTACATTATCATAATTATTATTAGCAATAACCACACCGAGCAAAATTAGTAATTTAGTTCTTTTTTATTTTTTCTTTTTCTTCCAATTTTTTTATTCTTATTTAGTTCTTTTCACCAAAAGAAGAAAAAAATGACAATATTCGAGACGACTGGTGCGTCTAATTAAAAAGCTCTCTTATATTATTCTTTGACCTTTATATTATTCTCTTTTTTTTTATGGCCCCGAATATTGTCATTGTATATTATTTCACAATGGGGACAATTCAACAATGTGAATGGGAACATTTCACACATAAGCACACACAAAACAAAAGAAAACTCATGTTTTTGGTCTTTCGGAAACGTCGAGTTTTTTTGGTCATGTTCTTTTTATCGATACACTTTATTCCAATAAGAATATTCTTCAAAGATGTTCAGTGAATTGTGTGACACTTTCGCAATTCTATGGAGGACATACTGAACATTATTATTCTTGATTCTTTGATCTTAAAAAAACATAAACCATTAAAAATAAATATAAAAAATTTTTAAATATTAGCTGTTTTTTTTTTCAATAAATGGCTAAATGAAATTCAAATGAAGAAACACGATCGGTTCTTCTCCTCCTCCTCCTTCTTCACATCATCATCAAATTCCTTTGTATTATTTTCATTATTTCCGTCGCAACAATCACAAATCATCATCATTTTTTGATTCTATTTCTTTTGAAATTAGAATTCACAAAACAAAATGGCTCATATATTTTGTGTTCTTATTCTTTCCTTTTATAATGATGATCAACGAACAATAGCAAAAAAGAACTCAAAGAGTCCCCGTCGTGTGATATTTACATTGACAAGTACACCTGTAAATATTGTTATTTTTTTCTCAGCGGAACTAATTGCTGGACAATTTACCTTTTTTTTTTTTTTAAAAAAATCCTTTTTTATCACCACCTTCTTCTACATCGTCATCTTCTTTTATATTGTTTTCTAACGGTAAATTTTTCTATTCAGGCGTCGTCGTGTTTTTGATTTTACCGCTGTTTGGGAATTAGAGATGGTTCTTTTTTATGAGATACATTAGCAAATATACGAAGGAATGCTTTTTAAGCTTGTCCCAAGATTATTTTCTTTATTTTTTCTGTATATATATTAGTACTATTATTATTCTTATTATTATAATTATTATTAACATCATTATTATTATTATTATTATTCCTCTTCTATTATTATTATTATTATTATTATTATATCAATATTATTAATCTTGGGAAAGCGAAAAAATGTTTCTGCGTAAATTTCATTTCGTATCTCATTCTGTTTCTCTTATTTCCCTCTTGCCCATTAATTTTGTCCTCTAATTTCACCAGACGTCAACTCTTAATATAAAATTAAGATGATGATTTCTATGCTCTAATTTTTTCAGACTCTTCTCTCGTCTCACTTAAAAAATCTTTTCCCCCATTATCATTTCTTTCTTATTTTTTTTTCTTTTTTTTTGTTCTTTTTTTTTAACTTGTAATTATTTACGAATAAAAAAGTTTTTTTTAGTTTCACTAATTAAAAAAAATTTCAAAGAAAGAATTGGAGGTGACCATTTTTTTAATCCTCGACGCCATTTTCTAACGTTCACAATTATAGATAGTGGGGGCTTGCAATAACAAGAGTCAAAAATTATGGTTGTGTATTTAGATCAATACAACTAATGTATTAGTTAGTGATTTGGTGGTAGTATATTATATTATTACTTTTTTTCTTGCTAGTTCATTAGATTGATCTAGATATTACATTTCTATATTTTTTTTAAACTTTTTTTTTTTCTCTACAAGTCTATGTTTTTTTCTTTTCCTAACCGATTTTTGCTCGCTATTATTTAACAAAAAAATTTCAACAACACTAAAAGATTCTAATCATCATCATCTCTAAGGTACAACACACAACACAAACACAACACACACACACACACACACATATATATATTATATCTCTTAATGTTATATTTTTATTAATAAAGTTTATTTAATCAAATGACACACACACTATTTATTTTAAAACAAACATTTGTTCATTGCATGGAAATTCTTTTTCACTGATCAAATATCGATATACTCACCTACAATAGTTTCTTTTGGAAAGGTTAACGAGAAAAAAAAACTCGAATTTCATTACATGTTACCTGTTTCAGATAATTCATCATCGTCCTTCATGTTATTGATAACGTCCTCTTCGAATTCCTCCCTTCAATTCTCTCCTGTAGAAATCATGTAACTAACTGAAATCACCCTGAACAATTCTTCAATTTGTGTATGCACAGTATTGCGGATTGTTTGTTACCCTTTCGGGATATATTTGATGGTTGTGGGGAAATGCTATGTTTTTTCGATTAGAAAAAGGACTCGCATATAAATCCACCAGTGAATTCAAGAAAACGTACATTGATGTATCCCATAAATACGTCCAAATCATGCAACGCTTTTTCGACACGCGCATGATTCTCTTGAACCAACATTTTATTTCGCGCGCTAGTAACAGATCATTCATTTGCTTTTGTATCTTCTTGCGATCTTTTGTGATGCGGTATGTTCGATCGTGTCATGAACGCGGATCATTGAAGAATATAGCCAACTAAACCCTAACCTCGATCTCTCACATTTTTCTATCTTCTTTGGTTATTTTTCTCGATTGCTTCCGCTTTTGCTTTTACGAGTTCTCTCAAAAGGATTGGAAGGTTTCATAATCTTTTTGAAAAGATTTGGCTCAAGCATCTTTTTTACCCACCAAAACATCATCGTCCCTTAATTCCCGGTATTCTTTTTGCAGTTTATCAATTTTTATTTGCGATGCTTTTCTGGTAGAATTCTCTCCTCTATTTGCATTATTTTTTAGATGAAACAAATTAAAATCAAATATTGCTCAAGCGACGGTTAACCCAATATTTTGGTACCACAATCATCCCCAAACACAAAACAGTAATTTTCATAGTTAAGGAAAAAGCGTTACATATTTCCTAAATCAAATAAAGAATTGAATGAACCTCGTGAACGATCTCATATCGATGTATATTAAGAAAAAAATTAACTCTCCTTTATTTGGGTAGATATCATCCGTGCATAGACAGGCATGCATATCCTGAATGCAATCTAATAGTCCTAGCTAAAGAAATTAAACATTAACTTTTTTAAGGCGCGTAGATTTCTTTTGTTCACTTTTTAAATCTCTCATATATTACCTCGCTTCATACATTTCCTTGTATACCTATAAATACATCAAGATTTTTCATTTGACCCTTATAAAAAACCTCATCACATACCAAAAAAATCACAATGAAGAAAAACATTGGTAAATTGAAGCAGGTAATTGTTTTACTCGCTTGGAAACCAGTTTTTTCCTTTCCCCCAAAATATCCCTCATCGTTTTAAACCTTTTATTCTAGTGGACAAATGAAAGATTGGGCTCATCGCAAAAAACTGAGACCACCGATGAGTTCCAAGAACTACAACAAAAGACTGACATGAGACACAATGGCTTTGATAAACTTCATTTCGCCACAGATGTCTATCTAAAGACTATATGTAAATAAATAAAGGGATATCAACTAGCTTGATAATTCGTCTATGATTTTCGAGCCTTGATTGATCATTTTCTTTTTGTTCCCGCTAGCAAAGAAGAAAGATTCGATCGAAGAGAAAACTAAGACACTTCCGATTGAGACCCTCGGTTCTACCATGAGAGTTTATGGCGATGAAATTGGAACCGATTCTCCTTACGGTATTAATTTATTCTTTATTATGAGTCGCGTATGTTTTTTTTTAATCTCATTTGTAAGCTTATTTTTTTTTCATACTTCATTACTCAGGTTTGGCATTAGTGAGGTTTGGAATAGCCAATGAAAAAGTAGCTAATGCACAATTAGAATATGTGACTCGGGTTCGAGAAGAATTTCTTGAAGGGCTTGAATTTACGAGAAACGAGTTACGGCAGTATCAGGTAAAATTACGACACAACACTGAACTGTCCAGCTTAATAATATTCACCAACTAATAATAATATAATAATAATAAATTAACGTCGCAACAAAGTCACTCAAACGAAAACTTGAATCACGACGACTTGATTACGATGCAAAATTAAACAAAGTACAAAAGTCTAAAAAAGAAAAACCCGAATTAGAGGAAGAAATGCGTGCGGCAAAACAAAAATACGAGGAAACGATCGAAGACATGAGTGATAAGATGGCTACGGTACATGAATCTGAGGTATGTTGGAATCGAATCTTCTTAAACCCTTTTTTTTTAGAGATGATGATTTTGGTTATTTGAAATAATTGAAATAGTTGGTTTCTTCTTTTTTGTAACAGGGTCAGTACGTGCAAGAGCTTACAGCATTTCTTGATGCAGAGCTGGAATTCTTCAAAAAGGGATATGAAATTCTTTCAACTGTTCGCAACGATTGGGTTGAAAGGTTTATACTCGTTTTACGATAATAATGATCATTAAGCAAATGATGTCATTGATTAACCGATTCTAAATATTTTGAAAAAAATTAGTGAATCAAAATTTGTCGTAAGGCGAACTCCTGCGCGCAAAACCACTCGAGACTCTGATCGAACTCGAGATTCTGATCGATCACGTTCGGATAACGATGAAGAAAAAAAATCAGACAACGATAGTATTCGTTCATCTAATTCATCGCGCGACCTTCGAAAAGGGAAAAAAGTTTCTTCCCCAAGCAGATCATCAAGTTCTAAGGTCCCTGCACAATCAAGATCAGATAGTCTTAATGTTCCAAGTGCAAAAGCGCGCTCTGGAAAGTCTTCCACTTCATCAAAATCGATAGATATACCAAATAAAAGTTCTACCCCGAAAAAAATTGGTAAGAATTTAATTGTAAGATTATTTTTTGTATAGTAAGCGAACTTTTTGTTAAGATTGTAATGATTCTCTTTTCATTCAGACACGCCATCTTTGAAAAAACAAGTGAAAGTCTTATATAGTTACGATGGAGAAGGAGAGGATGAACTCACGATGGAGGTCGGTGATATCATTACAGTATTAGAAGAAATTGATGAAGGATGGTGGATCGGTGAAATCACCACCGCTGATGGGAATCAATATAAAGGAATGTTTCCCGCGAATTATACAGAACCTGTTTTAGTTGAATCGCCACCTCGAGCTACACTGCAGGCACCTCAACGACGTTCTATGGCTATGTCCCGACAATCATCAACAGAAGATTATTCCGAAACAAAATCTAAATCATCGAAAAAAGATATTGAAAATACCTATAAAGCGGAAGAAGAAGAAGAAGAAAACTACGAAGAAGAAGAAGAAGAAGAGTACCTGGAAGAAGTGGAAGAACAAGAAGAGGAATATGAAGAAGAACCACCACCACCAAAGAAGCCTTCCCCACCGTCGCGTAATAGTTCTTCTAAATCTGTACCAACACGTTCACAATCGCAAAAATTTTCAAATGATAACACATCAAAGCGTTCCCAATCAACTCCTATACCACCTATTCCATCACGTAACTCAAAACCACCACCACCGTCACGTAATTCCTCTTCTTCAAGTCGTCCTCCGCCACCCCGACCTGGAGGATTCAAATCCAATGAGAGCTCTCCACTGGCCAGCTCAAAGACAAGTAATAGCGCCCGAAATTCTTATATACCACAAAATTATTTTGATACAGCGGATACAGCGGATGCATCAACAAGCGTTGGTGCTTGCGCAGAGTGTGGCTGCGATGATTATTCACCGAATGTGTTTAAGAAAGGCAGCTGTAATAACTGTTTCCATAAACATTAATTTTTTTAGCTGTTGGTGAAATAATATCAAATTTAATCTAATATTTATTTTTATATATATTATTTATATATATATATATGGTTTTTTTGATAACGGGTTCAGACAAAATTTGGTTATTAGCATTTCATCATTATATTCACTTACACGAAACTTAATTGACATTTAATACCAAATTGTATATTTTGTATATTCATAGAAATAGAACCCAACCCAATATTAAATTCTTATTATAATAATAAAACTAATATTACTATCGCTATTACTATCATTATTTAATTTCAATTATGGTATTTGTTTTTTTTATAGAAATCACGTAAAGAATCGACATATTCATTTGGGTGTCTCATAAAATGTTGCACATGATCACTACCCGAAACAAACTTTTTACCAAAAACTTGATTTACACCACGATCTTTTAAAGTTTTGATAAACTTTTCCACTTCGTAATCAGGCACGATCTGATCATCTAGACTATAAATGAATAAATATCGCGTGTTTCCGCCGGGTATTCTCGAGATAGCATCGTGAGCAACTTTTTGATATTTTTTGGTAACCTCCAATTGAAAGTATGCGTTAATGAGACGCACGAGAAATGAGGGTGGGTTAATGGTGACTCTATCAAAATGTTTATCTGAGGCGGACGATGAAACTTCGGAATGAATAAGTTTTGACGGGGAAGGAGGAGTAATAGATGCAGGGCGTAAAAAGCCACCGGCTACTCCCAAAGCAATGTATTTTGGAAGTATGGGAGAAGGGGCCGAGTCCATGACACATGATTCCACAGAGTTTAGAAATTGTATAGCATCACGTGAAATCCTTGCATCATATCCGGGTGATGTTTCTTTGGAAATTTCACGTATCACTTCGAACAATAACGCGTAATGATAAGCACCGTTATTGCTAAATACATGGAATCCAACCTCAGGACGTCCATTTTCAGCCCAATATGCTAATAAATTTCGTGCGAGATGACGAATGTGTGGCAAAATAGTCCATGGCAGAAAAGGGTGATGTGAAGGAGGAATATGCGATAGCGTATCCACGTTAAATGTGTTTGTATATATTTGAATGTAATGACGAAAGTACCTTGGTGTTGAATTGAACCAGCCAATCAGAATCATTAATGGCGGTGGCTTTGAGGGTATTGAATCTTTTTCATTATTATCATCAGAGGAGGAGGACGACGATGATGGTTTGTACACGAAGCTCCTTTTTAGTGACCTGTTGTTGTACGTTGTGGCGATGCTGTTATTACCGGAAGAAGAAAAAGCGTCGATATTGCTGCTTGTTTCATTCTGATTGATTCTTTTTGATAGTATCAAAGAAGGGTATGCTGGTGAGCCCCCAATATTAGGTGATAATATGAATGTTGCTGTAGCCGCAAGTGAACAATAGTACCTGTGATCGCTACTAAACATATTGATCTTATTTCCTCTCCATGATGAACCAATCAATTTCGAGAATGTTGATCCAGTGATAATGTATAATAACATATTGAAAGGATTTCTTGTCACTTTCTTGCTTGAATGAGTGGCGATTAAATACAAGTATAAAATTTTTAATCGATAATTTAATTGATAATAATCTATCTCTTATATTGTTGTAATCGGCGAAAAATCCACAGCTGATAGTAAGTAAATGAAATAATCAATAACATCATCCATATAATTAACCAAAAAAAGACAAAAATCCGATACTGTTTAAGTTTGCATATTACGAGAATTATTTAATTTCGGCGATCGCATCTGTATTTCACCATTTATACTAATACCGGATTAGATCAGCGAAATTTTCGAATAAAATGTGATTCACATATGCATATCGATTAAAAGAAGGCCATGTCATTTTATCAAAGGTCAAATGACTAACGATTTGTCAAGAAAAAACGAATCAAATGCTGACATTTTCCCCGGATTTGGTCTGATGGATAACTTAAATTGAATAAAAATAAAAGCCATATGTTTACTGAGATTTTGCGAAATTTTCTTAATAAATCATGAGATATTTTGTTTTTGTACAAAATCCCATCACTGACTTTTTCTTTGAAAAAAATCTTCAAAATTAGTAAATTTACTTTGAATCAAGATATTTTATAATTTACTAGTCCAAATTTTTAAGAAAGTATATAATCTGCAAAATCTTAGTAAAGTTTAGTAAATTATAAAATATTATTTATTTTATATTTAAAATTGTAATTTTGAAATATGATTTCCATTTATCAAATCAAATCCAGAAGAAATATCATTTAATTCACAAGTTGAATAATATTGAAATATAAATTATTTATTTTTATTTAATATAAAAAGAAACTTTTAATAAAATTAGAATTATTTAAAAATATATATATACAATTGCTTTTATAATTTAAAATCAGAATATTAATTTTATTAATAAACATAGTAAAATTGAAAGTTTCTTATAAAATAATTTTTTATTTTTATATTAAAATAAAGTTTGTAATTTATAATTTATAAATATTTTTTTCAGATTTTTTAGATTTCTACTAAAAGATTATTTTAATTATAAAATTATTATAAAATTTTTTAATTAGATTTTATTTTAATGAGAAAAAATTTATAATTAGTACATAAAAATAAAAATTATTTCTTAATAAAATTTTAATACTTGAGTTTTTTACTAATTATATTTAATAAAATATATATCTTATATATTTTTCATCTTTTATTTCATATAAAAGTTTTTAAATTTATTAATAAATATTTTTTAATTTTAACTCAAAATAAAACTAGAATTCTTTGCTTTAATATATATTTTTTCAGAATTTTTTTCTGAAAAAATTATTCTAATAATAATTCTTATTAATTAATAATTAGTAAAAATACAATAAAGATCAAATTTATTAAAATAAAATAAAATACAAAACTTTCTTCAATATTAAAATTTTTATTTTATTAATATAATTTATTTATAATCATCACTCTTAAAAAGCAAAATTACAATAACTATAAGAAAATGTAACTATAGAAAGTTTTTTTATTATAATTATAGAGATTTGATTATAAAATATTTTTTAAATAAAATTATAATTTAGAGTTGTTTTAATTACACTTTATTTAAATTATAAAATAAAATTTTGATTCCTGTTACATTTCTTTTAATTGCCATTATGATTTTGAGAATAAGTTTGTCTAATTTCTGGAGGTGTAATGATGAGATAATCTATTTTTCAGATGACGTATACATATTGATTTAGACAGCATAATTAGTTTTGAATTTATTTCTAATTAACCATAAAGCTATAACGCCAACTTTTCATTGCAAACATAATGAACTCTGAAGAACTTATTCAATATCAATATCAATTGGATCAAGTAAACCTTGCATTGCAAACTGACCCAGAAAATAATGACCTTTTAAAGCTTAAAACTGATTTAACTGAACTAATTAGTCTCACCACTGCACTTGTGCAAAATGAAGTTTCTCAATCACCCAATAAACATACTAAATCGCCTATTTCACCGAAAGGTAGTACTTCAACACCTTCCACACCAAACGGTTCTTCCTCGAGCGGATTACCCCTCTTTACAAAACCTCTCCAGGTCGGTGATACGTGTCTTGCACGTTGGTCAGGTGATGGCGAATTTTATCCAGCGCAAATAACGGCTATCGGAGGTGGGGATCAAGTATTTTCAGTGATTTTTAAAGGGTATAATAACGTGGAGTTGGTGAATGTTCAAGATATTAAACCGATTATGAAAAGTAAGCGTAAGAGTTCTACGGATAAAAAAGATAAAGAACAAAAAAAGAGGAAAGCGGGGGATGGTCAAAGAAAAGTTAATGAACAAGTGCAAAAACAAAAATCTTGGCTTGCATTTGCAAGTGGAGCCGCTGTTGCTCCGGGTAAAAAAGCAACGAAAACAAAAAGATTAACCCAGCCACCAATTAATAAAAAAAGTATATTTGCTACACCTGATAATCCCGAAGGAAAAGGTAAAGTAATTTTTCTTTTGTTTTTATGAAGAAATTAATTTTTTTGCTAATTTTCTTTTTCTTTTTCTTGTTTAATAGTGGGAGTTGTTGGGAGCGGTAAACCCATGACACATTTTCAACAACGCGGCAAACATATATTTGATCGAGATTGATCATATACTGAAAGAGACAATTGCTATTTTTTTTTCTTTTCCCAATACACAACAAAAAGCTTCATAGTCAAATGCATAGTTTGAATGAAATTCGGATGGACTATTACTTCTACTGTAGTTGCTGCTGCTACTACTACTACTACTACTATTATCACAATCATCATATAGTGAGGGGAGTATAGCATTGCTGTTATCTTTTTTGTTTTTCCCGTTTTCCTTACCAGTTTTCACAATTGATTCATCATTCATAATAACCCTCGAACCCACGCAACAACGAAAATATAATATAATACAAAGAGAGAAAGAAACATCTGACAGACAGTATCATCATCATCATCATTCTCTCAGCTGGGTTTAATATTTTTGATTGCTGAACGGCAATCCCGTAGAAATTCTGCAATATATTGCCACACTGGTAATTTATTCTATCTCTTATATATGCTCTTACATCTTTATATATTCTTTGATTGATTTTTAGTAATTGAATACTACGGGAGTTATATTGATTGACTTCTATATACATTTTCTTTTTTTTTTGGGAAGAAGTCTATTAAAGGTTCTTAACTTTTTTTCTTAGTATAAACATTCATATTTAAGTTAGCTTCTATAAGAAAATCATCTTTATTCTATCTGATATCTCAAAGGAAATATTTGTTTTTCACGAAATGAATTTATTAAGTTAATTAGCGTAATTCCAATTAATCGCGTAAATTTGGATAAAAATTTTTACCCTCGCTATTATTTTTTCATTCATATGTTAGATGATGATAGACTGTAATTTATTTAAAAATAAAGTTAAATACAATGTATACGAAGAAACAATCAAAATCAATCAATACCTCCTTTTATAAAATTTTTGGAAATGTTTAGCTATTTTTAATACATGTAATTATACAAAAACAAGACATAATAAATTACACGTAAAATTTGTATTAATAGTAAAATATTCACACAATCCATTTTGAAGTCGAAATTTTCAACATGATTAACATGATTTTGGTAAATATATTAACCTTTTTTTATAGAATCTTCTTATTAATCTTCATCTGAATCTTCCTCCTCCGCTTCCTGCAACCACTTGACAAAAGGTGTCATCTAATACGAGATAAAAATAAATTTGTTTTATTAATATAAATAAATGCATGAAATTCACATCAAATAAAAATACCATATTTCTAAGCTTCTTGATATTCTCCACAATTTCTTGTTGTTTTGTAGCTAATCCTGCTCCTACTCCTTTGGCACGGTCCGAATTATACCAAACAATGATCGCGTCTTCCTCCACCACCTCCAATTCGTAAAGTTGTTGAAGTAAAGGTGCTAGTAATCGTGCATGTGATTCTTGTCGTGCAGCACAATGCTCCTTTAATTATTAACGTTAAATTCTGGTATAATTATTTCCGAAAAAATAGCATAATATAAAAATACCTGAAGGATATATAATGCATCGAGTTGATCAAATGACGAATGAATCACTTCGGAAATAAGAGGTGACCATTGAGTAAGAACCTTAAAAAATAGGATAGATGATAAAAAAATATAAAATATCTATGAGTATTATTACTAGTACTACTATTATTATCATCTATGAATTTTTTTACCTCTTTCACGTGAGAGGCAAATTCTTTTTGGTTAGCGAAAAGAAATTTTTGTGTGTCAATTTGGCCCAAAACACATGGTATAACAACTGTTCTTAAATCATGAAACGTGGCATTTGACGCCATCTTTAACGCTTTTAGTTCTAATACCGTATTTTCAACGGTGTGACCTTCTGCGAAAGCACGCTCAAGTGTCTGTGCAACTTCACGTGAGAAGTCATCATCTTCTTCCTCTTTACGTTGTCTTTGTTGTTCTGTATCACTACTTTCTTCTTCACTATCATCACTTATAACCGATGCTGATGATTCACTACCAGACATTTTCAGAGTTGACAAATCGTATGCTACAATGTTTTTATAGTTAGTTAAAGAGTAGTATTTAAATATTTTAAATATGTTAATTTCTTTACCTAATGAAGAGACTTGTAGATTTCTAGGATCCTGGTCATCCTCCTCCAAATTTTCGTCTTTCCAGAGGTATCCGATGCCTAGAGCCCCGATTACTTGACGATCATATTCTACGATGACGATGAGGTTGATGATGTCTTAAATATGAAATTAAAAAAAAAAGGTTAACTTTACCTGTTTTTCTTATTTCCTCGTCTTGATTGTCCTCTGCATCAACTTTCACAACTTCCCTCTCTCCCTCTTCGTCGCCATCATATTGGGGTGATGCTAAACGAGTAGTCAATTTCGTATACGGAGCCAAGGTGATATTGGGACCAACGACTACCTAATAAACACAATGATATAAAGTGATAAAAGGATTAAATACCAATATGATATAATGAAAATACGAATTATTCATATGTTTGCTTACATTGAATGACAATAAACATCCTTTATTGACTATAACTTTTTCTTCGAGAACCACACCATTGGCTAATATCGATCTTGATACAGAACAGTTTGCCTTGATTGTCACGTCATCCCAAATGTAAGCACCGTCAATTATAACATTGGGTCCTAGTATTATAATAATGATAATAAGTGTAGAATAAGTATTAAATTCGCTAAGATGAGAATAATGATTCATATATACCAATCTTCACCCGTCGTCCAATAACGGTATTCGTTATTTGAGAGTTTCCAGCAATTTCTGTTCCAGTTCCAATCAAAATTCTCTCACCCAAGACACAGGATCTTGGAAAAAAATTCATGAATATAAGAATATGAAATATTAAAAGCATGAAAATGATTCATACTCGTTATATTTAGCAAATAATTTGAAACAAAGATCAAAACCTCGTAAAACTAGAACCATTAGTGATTTTGATAAACTACAGCAGTTACTACTACCTTGCTAACACTACATCTTGTTCTTTGTATATTTGTCCGCGCATAAATTCATAGCCATCTCTCGCTTGCAAATTACTATCTGGTACAATCGGATATGTCCAGCGTGATAACATATCTTTGCTACAATACCAACAGTTCAATTAGAGAAATTTAAGTCTAATGAGTCACACTACCTCAATGTTAAAAATGATGATAATATTTTTGTAAAAAACTCAAGGGATCTTACCTGATTGCATCATAGGTTTGTAAGCTTCTTACTCGTGCGGCGTACGCGTCTTTTACTGTGTGACAATATATTGTTTTACCCAGTAGATCCGATGTTAGGATTCCATAGACAAAATCATTTCGAATATCTTGGTAGTCAAAATTCTCGGTAAATAGAGCAGGAACCTAGTAATAGCAATTTCAGTTAATGACAGGCAATTAACAACAATAAATAAAAGGGTTGGAAATAAATCTTACCTCAACAGAACAGATATCAATTTGACAATCAATCAAATCATTCCTTATTTGAACATCCGTATGTTTTTGGAATACTTCAAGGTCCATGACCATACGCCGTTTTCGCGGGAATATTTCAACAGCTTCGTAATGTACACATTCATTGGTTTGTCCATCTAATACAAATATTGAGGATTCGCTAAATGCTCTACGATTTCATAAAGTTTTTTTTTTCATTTTCTTTTTCAATTCTGATCGTAAGAGATAAGATAAAAAACAGATACTAAATAGAAGATAACCTTGTTCGATGAAACGGACTTGCTTCTTTGACAACCTAGAAGTGATATCATAATTAGCTAAAGCTCAATTATATAAGATAATCTATTGGGTTATTTTTTACCATGGTCATGATTGCATTTTTGTCAACCAATTTTCGCTCCCTTTAAAAAAATCCATACATTGAGATATATATATGTGCGTTTTTGAGAACAAGTCCAATCTACATAAAGAAGGGCAACTTAAAGGATCTGATCATAATTAAAAATTTTCATCACCTGTGAGCTTCCAACACCTGCTCAAGGTTGATATTTGACACCACATCACCACAGACAAGTATAAAATCGGAATCAATTAACTGTTTCGCGTCTAATTCGCGTAAAACATCACCAACTGAGCGTGCCTCCGGTGTAATAATAGTGGTTATCTTTATTGGTGAATGTGGTCGATTCCATTTTGATGCACTAATTACAAAAATATTGATATTTGTCGCATCATGGAATTTATGGACAAAAGTCGAATCGAATAAATAAAAGATTTTGTGATATTTTTCTATACTTCAAACGCACTTTAAATAAGCTTTTATTTGATCAGCGTGTTCTCGACAGAATAAAACAACTTCTTGTACACCAGCTACGGCAAGAAATTCTAAAGTATATTCTATAAGGGGAGTATTGCACAAGGGTAAAAGACACTAGAAGAAACAAGTCAAAATGGACAACGTTAACAGCTTTTTATAAAATTCACAAAAAAGATCCAACATAATTTTTTTAATGCCAGACACGTACTCTGGGTTTCTCGAGTGTTATGGGTCTGAAACGTTCATTAAAACTGTCTGCAAGTAATACAGCGTACAAAGGTGTTTCAGTTTCTAAATTCTTTCCGGAACTTTTAGTGGCGGGTGGCATTTCAGTGAATGTAGGTTCATTCTCTGTGTCTTTAATAGGTAAATAGATAATAGGCCAATCATTTCCAAAAAAATTCTATTGGATTAAACTTTTTATATCGATATCGACTCTAGAGTCGTGTCAATTGTTGGAACATTTGCCTTGCAATAATGTCAGCCCACTCTGTTTTTGAAAAAAGTAACGAAAATGTGGTCACTTTCGATATACCTTTAACAAATCCTGAAAACAATGTAGTATATCTACCAAATCTCCTTCAAGGCTTTCAACAACAAGTCTCAGCAGACGAAAACATGGATTTGGATATTTTGGAACAGAATCCTTCCGACGACTTTAACACAAAAACTTTTGAAGAATATATTATTGCAGAAACAGAGCGATACTTGACCATTCTTCAAAATGATACAACACCAGCGGGCTCGGAGTTCTACGCAATTTCCCGTCCAAACGCGTCACAAGAGTACTTTGGCGCTGCTACTTTTAAACTACCAGAACAATTTATAACGTTGTTCAAGCCTGCGACTCCAATCGGCTCACCTGAGAAACCACAGAAAAAGAAACAAGCCGGACCAGGAAGACCTCGAAAAAACCTACCACAAGAAGCTAAGAAAATTGCAAGTCCACCCAAGGAACGAAAAAAAGACGCGGCGGCGGCAGCTTCTGAAGCTTCAGCAGAACCACGTAAAACACAAAGAAAGAGGAAAGTTGGTGCTGTTTCTAGTGACTCCAAAGAAATAAAACCAAAGAAACGTACAACAAAGGCAAAAGTACGAGAAGAAGCAAAAACTGAGAATAAAAAATCTGATTCAAGCAAGAACGAAAATGAGAAATCTAATGAAGAGAAACGAAATCCTGATTTTTCAGAGAAAAATAAAATCAATCATAAAAATAATACAAAGAAAGATAATCAAAATGAAAGTGGCCAGGATACAAAATATTCATCTAGCGAAGGAAATGGGCTAAATAAGAATAATAATCATAATCGTAATATTACTACTAGTGCTGGTGCTGCTAATAAAAATGATAATATAGTAGTTCCTAAGGGAAACCCTGCAATAGCTGCGCTAACTATAGAAGAACAATTTGAAAGTTGTTTCTCCTCAAGTTCGCTCACTACTTCACTCACATCAACACCAGAAGGAGGATCACCAATAGATACTCCAACTCCGTCTCGGCCTTCAACTCCTAGCAAGAGGCCAACCATTGCTACAATCACCAATACAGTTGATATTATGCCAAAGACTAGCATGAATAGGAATAATCCAACGAATAGCAACAATAACAATACTACTAGTATTAGTAATAATAATAATATTAATAATAATAATAATAATAACAATAATAATATCACCACCACCAACGAAGTGACTACTCCCTTGACAATATCATCTGATTCATCTTCAACGACTCCATAATATTTATTTTTTTGAATTAATAACTTCATAGCTGAGAGATTCAATAACATTGTGAAGAGATTCGAGAAACCTTTTGTAAATTATAAAAACTAAGAGAATATAATATTTTTACTCAGCAAATTCGCATTTTTTATAATTAATTCTGATCTTTACTAACTCTGCCTTTATTACGAGTCTGCTTGATATTTTTTTTTCTCTGATAGATAGATCCTCTATTAATGCACGCACTATATAAAAGCTCTCTAAATGCATGGCATGACTTATATTTGGCTCTCCACCTTCCCTAATGCATGCTGTCTTTTTACTATGGTAGTGCATCAGGATACTTAAATCACGTGAACAAAAATTTCAGGAAATTTCGATGCTTTTTGTTGTGTTTGTCTTTCTTTTTATCTGTCGACGAGGGCCTGAATTTATCAACAAAAATAATGGATAAAACACAAAAATACGATCGCCAGTTAAGGTAATCTGTTAAAAGTTTCTTACATTACTCTTGTATATTTACTTAAGAGATATATTTATGGATTTACCCTGCTATCGTTGTTACTTTTTTGTAGACTTTGGCAAGCAAGTGGTCAAACAGCTCTAGAATCTTCGAAAGTTTGTCTTGTAAATGGGACAGCGACTGGCTGTGAAACTTTAAAGAACCTGATATTACCTGGCATGTTTTTATTTTCTGATACTTTCATGTGACTTGTTTTTTACTTGCTACACCCTGAATAATTGTCAATATAGTCGATTATTGTAGAATTAGCATCTTTACTTTGTTTATTATTCGACGATTATTACTATTATCTATATGATTATTCCAATAACATCTTATAGAGTAGGTTAATTAGGCTTTATATTGAGGTTCTGATGATGATAGGGTATTAGCAGAAAAACAGTCAATATTTGTGGATAATAACAATAAGATTAATATAATCAAATCAAATTTATATTTAGGAATTGGATCATTTACTATTCTCGATGGGAAAACGGTTGAAGCATCAGATATTGGAAATAACTTTTTCTTGGATGCAGAAAGTATTGATGCACCTAGAGCAGAACGAGTTGCTATTCTCTTGCAAGAATTGAATGATGATGTTAAAGGTTTTCATTTAGCTGAAGTAAATATATTTCTGTGTTGATTATCATAACCATGATTATGATCTTTATTATTTATTAATCATTGCATTATTGATCTTTTAATATCGAATTATTAGGATCCAATTAACGTCATTAATACTCGTCCCGAATATTTTTTGCAATTTTCATTAGTAATCACAACTGACCTTCATGAAAAGCCACTACTTAAGCTATCCGAGATATTATGGAACGCCAAAATACCATTGATAGTTGTTCGTACTGTAGGATTTGTTGGATATATACGCGTAGTGTTGCCTGAACATACAGGCAATGTATATTTTAATACTAATGGTCAACATATTTTCTTGACATAATGCAATGACGATTTTAACCGCAATGATCATCTTTTATAATAAAGTTGTTGAAACTCACCCAGAAAATATTTCCGATCTTCGACTCGATACTCCATTTCCTGCTCTGCTTGAATATGCCAAAACTTTTGATTTTGAAAAAATAGACAGTCTTGAACATAATCACATCCCTTTTGTAGTAATTTTGTTGAAGTATTTGGAGCAGTGGCGAAATGAGGTGATCATGATTAATGTTATTATATGCATGACATTATTATTCTTAAGTGTATTGTTTATTTATTTTATTACGTGCATTAATAAAAAAATAGCATGGAAATAAATTGCCTAGCACATCAGCTGAGAAGAACGCATTCAAGCAAGCAATAATAAGTGGTAAACGCGTTCCAGACGAAGAGAATTTCGATGAAGCATTAGCTGGTGCTTGGAAAGCATGTTCCGTGACAAAAATTCCTTCTGAGGTTGAGAGAATCTATAATGATGCTGCGTGTTCAAATATTAGTTTTGAAGTAAGAAATGAATTAATTTCGGGAGGGGAACACGGTGTGTGTTTGTGTGACTTAAAATTAATATAATTATTAGAACATATTAAAAAGAATAATAATTTTCTTACAAGTCTTCTAGTTTTTGGATTATTGCTCGTGCAATCCACGATTTTGTGGAGAATGAAGGTCATGGATTATTACCATTGGCTGGAAGTTTGCCTGATATGAAAGCTGACACACAGAGCTATGTTGCATTGCAAACCATGTAAGTAAATGGTTAGTTTGACGGGATATAATAATCAATTGATGATTAATCGAATTTAATACGTTTAACTTTTAGCTACCGCCAAAAAGCAAAAGAAGATATTGCATCAGTCCGTGCACATGTCCATAAAATTCTGTCATCAATAGGAAGACCGATTGACTTTATCTCTAATCAAGAAATCGAAAGTTTCTGTAAGCACGCTGCGTTTATTAAAGTGATTCGATATCGATCGCTGCAAGAAGAATATATAACCAGCCCAAAGAAATCCGAGATTGGTTTGTTATTTCTGGCTTTCCGAATTATTCGAATATAAATATCACCTTATCTGATCAAATTTAAATTTTTTTTGGGAAAAAAGCGCGATGGATACGTGATCCTAATGATAATATTGTTCATTATTTATTAATTCGTGCAATCGATCAGTTCTATGAAAGATATCAACGTTATCCAGGTATATGTATATTATTTTCAAACCATTTTAAATCACTATAATTAAAATGTTGTGATTTCAGATGCCGCGACATTGGACGAGGAAGACGGAGGCAATGAATCAGAGTTTATCAATTTTAAATCGATAGTTACTCGGTTATTCAACGATTATGGTATCAAAGAAATACCCAGTCACGTTGATGATTTTATACATGAAACGTAATCTTTGTTAATTACATTCAAAAATATTTTATTCGTAAGTGCTATGATGATTGCTGATTTTTTCTATATCCTGATTCTTTATATAGATGTCGTGCTGGAGGCTCCGAAATACCAAATATCGCATCATTATTGGGTGGTCTCGTGTCTCAAGAAGTCATAAAGATAGTAACACGACAATATATTCCAATTGATAATACAACCATATTTGAAGGGATAAAATCTACTTCTACTACGTATTCTCTGTAGAAAAACAGCATTTTATTCATCATCCTTTGGTCTTATTTATACTCGCATATTTATTCACGCTCGCCCTTAAGACAACAAATTTAGATGTCACTTTTAATAAATAGAATTTACTTTTAATGAATAAACCAAGTGACTTAAAATGACCAATAAAAGATCGGGTGGCGCCATCTATTACGTGTATTTGTGTGGCTAATAGCTAATCCTTTTCTAATATCAAAGTTTCTTTATTATAATAAGTCAATTTCAGCATCTAAATTAGGCTGGTAAAAGTAGAGAAAACAATAAAAAATAAAGTCACAAAAATGCATTCCTGCAAAGAACAACAAATTAACTTAAATACAATATATATATATATATCGATATATATTGAATTATTAACTTGATTACATAAATTACCGTAAAGTCCCGATAATAAGCAACATCATCATTTTTGAGGTCAGGGGGTTGCTTATTTTCGAGCCCCTTAAATAAACGTAAATATATCTATGACTAATGATCCAAATCAAACGTTCTATAGCTCATCAGATTCGCGGTTTTTTCGTTTGAATCTGGTCACTGGTTATCGAAATACTCGGAAAACATTTACTGCTATATATTAAAAATTACTATCGCAAATAGGGGTTGCTTATTCAACTTTTCTAAGACTTTTGGGTCTGAAAAGGGGGGGTTGCTTTCAGTTTCATAATCTTAATTACATCATCACAAACATCCTTCTTTATCTTAACCTTTGATAATCTTCTTTTCTTTATTATTCTTTATCTTATATTAATTATTAATTTTTATTTTTTAATTCTTATTTCTATTATTTATTGTAATCTTTTAGTTACATAATGTAAAATATCATGAAAATTCATACAGGAGATTCAAGATATAGCAAATAGTTTGACTTTAGATTCACACAGAAAATAAATCAAAAACAAACAAGAGTTTATAATTAAAAACTTAATCTTTATTATGATGGTCATTATTATTATTACAAAATAGAAATAACATCTTTAAATAAATAAATTAATATTATATAAAAATTAAATAATTATTAATATATATTACTTAAATAGATAGTATCTTCAGAAGATACTTATAGATAGATAAATATAAAAAATAAAATTATAAATGAAAATATAAAAAGAGTAATGTGTTTAGTTATATTTATATAATAAGAAAAAATAGAACTTTTATAAAGAATTATTCTTTAAGACAAAAATAACTCAAAGAATTATATAATTTTTCTTGACAAAATTAGATAATCATAATGTAGTAAATCATATATAATATAGTAAAGTAATATAACATAATTTATAAATTACTAATAAATTTTATTATATCTTCTTTCTTAAGAATCAATATTCTTATTAATGTTTTGATTCAAAAGATTTTATAAGTTCTATTATATTGTGAAGATTTTTCAAAAGTTTTCAAGTAATATTATAAAAAGAGTAATTTAGCTATTTGATTAAATATTAAAGTTTATTATAAATAATTTTTTTATTCAAGATAACTTTAACTTCATATTTTTCTTTTTTAGTTTCAGATATGAGAATTGATTATAATAATATTAGATAAATAAATTCTTTAGATTATATAACTTTAATAATGAAATATGAAAGGCAGAATAGATCTTTATATATAATAACAAATTTAATTTATATATAATAAATAAAATTACTTTAAGAATAGAAAAGAATTTAATATATTTAGGTATAAATTTTTTATTAAAATATTATTTATCTACAAGATTAATTATATTACAAGTTAAAAATAAGAATTAATCTTTAATTTTAAATTTTTGATAATAATAATATTAATTAGTATATTTAAATTAGTGATCTTGAGCTTTTATTAATAAATTCTTTATATCTTTAATTATATTATTTTAATTTTAAATGAATTCATCAGTAATAGTAACTTTATTATTTTAGATAAATATTAAAAATATAATCACAATTTAGCTTGAAAGATATATAATCAGATGAAATTTATATAAAATTATTATATATAAATTTAGTAATAGCAAGATATTTATTTTAATAATCTTGATTATATATAAAATATATATATATAGTATTTTTTTTAATATAATTTATTCTTTTAATTTTACTATTAATTAATAAATGAAATATAATTAATATAGCTAATCTAATACTAATTTATTTAAAAAGAAATTTCTAGAAATAATTAATAAATTTAGTATTATGATTTGAGATTATAACTTAAGATAATTTATATAATTTAAAAATATTATTAAAGAAAAGTTTAATAAGTTTAAAGATAATGACAATAATATGTATAAAAATAAAATAAGTATATTTAGTAAGATAGTTAATAATAACAAGAATTATATTATATTCTTAATAAATAGTTAATAATTATATAATAAAATTTAAAATAATTTATTTCTAATATTACTTGGATATTTTTAAAAGTTATAGAAGTTCTAAGAGTAATTAATTATTATTTTTATTTCTTTAATATTCTTCATACTTAAGAATATATTTATAAATATTATTACTATTTTAAGATTATGCGTATGTAATTATTTTAAAATAGTAATAGTGACTGTATTCACAGCAATTATTAACTTTTATAGCTTCAAGAATTTATATGACTAATTATTCTTTCAATAAGAAAATATGTATAAAGTTTACTTTTAACAAGAATATGATTATCTTCTTCAATAAGATAATTTATACATACTTTACTTATAACAAAAATATAATTATCTTCTCAATAAGATAATATACGTGAATTTACTTCTAACAAAATACTCTCTCAATAGAGCAAGAAGAAAATAAGATAAGATATAAGATAAAATATGTGTGTTTATTAAAGAAAAAT